CGGATGTGAGGGATGCAGGGGGACCGGGGAACCTCATGACCACATTGACATTGGTGTGGGAGGTCCGGACCTGGGGCAGCCTCGCATGAGGCCCCTCTGTGCCGCGGGCGCTGGGTGTCAGCCAGCTCGCCCTCGCCGTCTCTCCAGAAAGGCCCGCCCCGTCACTTCCACTCAGGGTTCCCCAACTCACAAGCCCAGCACCTCCCTCTTGACTGACATAAAAATATGTAGCGACAAGCTGTCTGCCACAGCAGAAATCTGATCAGACGTTGATTTCAGCAATTGCCTCGATAGGCCAAGACATGAGGCAAATTTGTTTCTGAGTACTGTTATTGCTGATGCAGACCTGAGGCAGGAAGGCCCAGTGGCCTGTGAAAAGCGGTAGCAACATCCCAGATAGGAGCTCCCGTTAGAGATAATTGGAATGCAGATTTGAATAGTGTGTGCTCCTCCACAGTTCATGCGTTTTCATTCTGGAGGATCCTATTTGGAGGGAAAGCCTGGCCTTCGTTTTCCCGGGATTATAGTAGCTGACTGTCAGCCTGTGTGGAAAAGGGCGGGCAGTTCTTCTCGATGGAGACGGGGATTAAGCCAGGCTGAAGTTTGTACTCCGTGGGCCCAAGGTCTTGCTGAGGCATTGCCCTGACTTCTCTACTGCTCCCTTCTTAAAAGATTTCTTTTCTAGTCACCTCCTCTTTACCAGCAAATCACAGGCTGAGGTTGGTGCCAGCTTCAGACTGGCAGAGCCCTCCCTCAGTGTGCTGATTTATTGCCAAGTCTTTACTTGGTGGGATGGATTTGTTTTACATGCATTTAATCCCACTTTAACACATGCTTCAAAGTGCTGCCAAAGTGGGTTTAGAAAATACATTTCGCTAATGCATCTTTGCTCTCATGTTGTCATCTGGTATTTTAAATCGGGGAGTAGAATTAATATGTAGACGTGCACCCGTTGAACTGTGTTTCTCCTTTCAGGCTAATGGAGGCTGGCAGGACGCAACAACTCCATCTTCTGTGACTTCTCCTACAGAAGGCCCAGGAAGTGTGCACTCTGATACCTCTAACTAATCTTTGGCAACACTTTCCCTGAGCTGACATGCCTCGCTAGTGCGTTCAGAGCAATAGGAGGAGAAGGAAAGCGGTTTTGTGGCCCACCATCTACAGCTTTACTGTAAAACCTTGTCTTATTAGAGAACTTGGTCATCTGTTTTTTAAAGAATCATAATCATTTGTATTTATACTTAAAAACACACAATGTTTAAAAAAAAAAGCACTTTATCCAATTAGGCCAAGATTTAACATTGTTGACAGTCCTGTAGCTATTTTATCATAATTTATTATCAATATTTTACATTAATGGTTTCACAGTTGCCAAGTACTTTGGCCTTAAGGGTAAAAAAGTACAATGTATGCTAAACCTCAATGGTTAAAGCAGATGCAAAGACTCACCTCACCTAAATTGAACTTCTCGCGTGTTTCCATCGCAGACTTTGCTTGTCTCTTTCATATTGCTAAAGGAGTTGGAATAAAGGAGCTGTTTGGCTATCTCTGTTAATGATGGTTGTGCTTAAGACTCTTCTTCATCACATTGTGTTGCGATCTCTTATGTTATAATTAGATCAGAGACTGGTGGCATCTTTTCTCTCTCTGAAAGCACCAGTGCCCAGAGTCTGCTTGGTAATTAAATTATGGATCCAGACTGTTCTGGGAGATGAAGGTACTTGCTGCTGATGGAGGTGAACATGAGATCCATCTGGGTTTTACGATGTGCACTGGGTGCTGCACAGACTTGTCAAGGTTTGCTACGTCCTCTGGGCATTGACCAAGGCTCTGCTCTCTGGAGTGTTGTATATAGTGTAGCAAAAGAGTATTTATACATCTCACCAATCAAAACACAGCTTTATTACCTCATGCGAACTCATACAAACCAATAGAATTTCAACATGTTCTGTAGCTTAGAGTGCTCACTTACTACCTCTGAACAATACTCACGCTGTAGTTTGTCTCTTTCTTATCTTTTTGCATCTTGTAATTAACTCTTTGTTTCCCTTCATAAAATGTAATGTACATTGTAATCTTTTAAAAGAAAAATCAGGGTTGCATTTGCAACTTTTAAAAAACCGAGGGTGGAAACACTGGGTCTTTAACACAAAATCAGTAGAACTGTTGTAAATACTGAGAAACATTTTGAATGTTCTTCATCTTGTTACTAATTCATGCAAAAAAAAAAAAAGCGGCGACTAATTGTGATGCATTCGGATTTCAGTATTCAGTACTGTATATTTCACCCTGTGTGATGGGGCCCCTCTCCTTTCTCTCTTTTTGTATTGTATGCGATTCTGAAACTGATTGAGTCATGAAAATAATTTGTGGCGGTGATTCTAATGTATTAAAAGCGTTTCGTGTTCCTTTCTAACTGGATTACACCCTGGATTGAAAAAGTCTTCCTCGTGGTAGTTATATGTAGTTTCAAACATGAATAAACTTTTTGCTTTCATGATTAAATGTTGATTTCTTACACCACCAATACAGGCCCAGCCAATACAGGCCCAGGGGAGAGCCTGCCCAAGGCAGGCCTGGGTGCGGAGGTGTGTGGCCTGTGAGAGGGGGACTCTGAGGTGACGGTGGTGTTGGGAGGATGGAACAGCCCCTACCAACTGACAGCTCTGTGTGCAGGCTCCTGGCTAGTTGCCAGCCACTGATTCCTGTCCTCCTGATCCTTGTGCTCTGAGCCTCAAGGAATACTTGCATTTTCATAGATTAGGAAACTAAAGCTCATAGAGGCTAACTAAGCAAATGCCATCGGCCACACACCTCGGACAACAAGGGCCATGTTTGAACCTGGTGTCTACCCTTGAGCTTACACTCTCCATCCTGACCTAATGATGCACTTGGCACTCGCTAGCTAGAGGGAAAACCTTTGTTGTAACTTTTTAAAAATAGCCAGTCTTGTCACACTCATTTCTTCACTTTCCTAACTTCTGTGAGACACCAGTTAAGAACAAGCAAAAGTTTCTCTGGAAAGAGTAACCCTCAGATGCCATTAAATACATAAAACCTGCAACTTATCTTAACACATTTTTAATTGGAGAGAGAGAGAAACATTTATTTGTTGTCCATTTACTTATACATTCATTGGTTGATCAAACCTGCAACCTTGACGTATCGGGATGATGCTCTAACCCAGTGGTTCTCAACCTTCTGGCCCTTTAAATACAGTTCCTCATGTTGTGACCCAACCATAAAATTATTTTCGTTGCTACTTCATAACTGTAATTTTGCTACTGTGATGAATCGTAATGTAAATATCTGAAAGGGTTGTTCGACCACCAAAGGGGTCGTAACCCACAGGTTGAGAACCACTGCTCTAACCAATTGAACTACCTGGCTAGGGCCTTAACATAGCTTTTAAAAAACTCTAAACTTATAAAATGTAAGACCAACTAGACATCCTTTAACTAGATTAAACATTGTTTTTGTTTTATTCAAATGGTTAGAAATTTCACATACGTACATACACATCTGTCGCTGAGATCCAAATCTTTATAATAAAAGAAGTCAATAGCAGGTAATTGGCCTGTTTACTATATATCTCAAGGAAATTGACTCACAGGAAATCAAATTAATGTTAATCAGTTGCAGCCAATTGTCTATGATAAATACAACTGTTTTACTGTTTCAGTTGGTGGAACCAGGCAAAACAGGGTGTAGGGCCACCGTTCCCATTAATCTTGAGCCAGTTATGCTGTGAGAGTCAACTTTATAAAATAGATGGCCCTCCGAAGCCATCCTCCCTCGCGCGGGCTCAGCCTGCCTGCAGGAGCCTCTCCCAGGGCTAAGTAGTTATTTGCATGATTCAATTAGTGTATGGGTCAGCCTTTCTTATCTTTTACATAAAACCGCCTCTATGCTGTGTGGTTTTGCAAAAATACCCTGTGGACACCGGGCACACACGCACACACAAATTATGTCTTCTTCCTAAGGACCGTCTCAGGGTTGACCTCAGGTCTGTTGAGAGAAGCATATACCAGTGTTTGTTGGAGATTTACACCTTGACCGGCAACCCTTGGGGTGGGAGGTGAAGGCTTTGTCCTGGGAGGCCTAAATAAAAAGGGCGGGGGGGGGGGGGCATATGTGTTCCCTTGCTGGTGGAGTTGGGGGAGGGCAGAAGCATCCTCACTTCATACATGAGGGAACTGGGGTACAGCATGAGCCCCCAGGTTCTTAGGCCTCACTCCAAATTGGATGAAACGTGTTGACTTGATAGATTTTCACCAGGTACCTTTTCTGGGTCAAGCAGTGGGTTAGACCCAGAGATGAATGAAATCAGGCTGCAGCCCTTGTTCAGAAAGCAAATGCTTGGTCAGGGTATTAGAAAAAGGCTAGCGGGTTGCTGGACCCCGAGACGAGAAGGGGGGACCTCACAACTCATTCTCAAGGTCAAAGAAAATAACAGTAGGAGACCACCTGAGACATCCAATCACAGGCTAAGGGGCCTGTCCACATGGACGCACAGGGCACAGATGTGCTCATCAGAGCCCGGGTGCCCGAGCAGCTCCTCCCGTTGGACAGGTGTCAGGCTTCCACTCCGAGTAGGTACACGAGCAGGGTGGGAACCTCTGTCTTGGACCAGGTGGCCTTGCAAACCAGGTTAGAACCTCTGTCCCCTGAACTGAACTGAGCAGCTGCCTCCTGCCATTCCCAGCCTGAGTGGTGGTGGGAGGGGCCGTGTTCTAGAGCAGCGGTCGCCTACCTGTGGTCCGAGGACCCCTGGCGACTGCTGTTCTAGAGCAGCCCCTTCCTGTGCGGGAAAGTGACGCGGGGATGCGTCTCCCAGGTGGTGTCGTGTTTTAGGTGTCGTCTGTGTGTTGTGCCATGAGAAGTTGATGTTGAGCATCTCTGGGTCAGCCCTTGGCCAGGCCCCTCCTGTACGTTCCCTTATTTAATGCCGGCGGCGCCCCCGGGACAGGTGATTTGTCACCCCAGTTCAGATGGGAACGCTGAGGCTCAGCGTTGACACTGCCTGTCCGTCATCTCCCGCAGCTGGAGTTTGCCCTGTGAAGGCCCCAGGTGACACCTTCCAGCAGCCACTCTCAGTGGGATGGAGAGGCGTCTGTGGACTGGAGCCATCCAGCCTCCAGTGTGAGGTCCCTTCTGGGACAGGGTGACCACCTCTCAGCGCTCGCCTCTCTCCCGCCTCTGCCTCTGATGCCTGGGCCGCAGGAGTGGGTGTCCTGTGGTGTGTACAGGGCGTGTGTCATAGATCTGGTGGTTCTGTCTGTGGATCACAGGGTTGGGATGGGAGATAGGCCAGGCTGGGCCTGGCACCGTAGTGTTGACAGACCTGGGCAGTGGCCATCACGATGCACGAGAAGAGCTGAGCACAGGGCCTGGGCATGCTCCCTGCGTGCTCTTTATTTTGGGTAGAGTTCTGCCTGTGCCCCTGAGGGTGCCTTTCCCAGGTTCTGTCCAGCCCTGGCCCCTGGCCCCTGGCCCCTGGCCCCTTAGCCCATTGCCCACACAACCCACTTGGGGTGCAAGCAGATCTTGCGTCCAGGCATGGATTTGAATCCTGGCCCTGCTTCCTACCAGCTGTGTGACCTAGGGTGAGGGATTTAACCTCTCTGAGCCTGTTTCCTCACTTCTTGGAACATCCTCTGTGTACCCCACCTCCCTGGCAAACGGCTGTCCTCTAAGGCCGAGCCCAGACCACTGTGCCCTCCAACGAGTCAGGCCCTGCCTTTACCTCGGGTACAGTGAAAACCGGACTATGGGCATCCACTCAGAGACCTGGAAGAGGAGGAGGAGGAGGACTGAGTTGGGTGGGGGCCCGGGCACAGGGAAGGGTGGCCCAGACAAGGGAAGGGCGTGTGCAAAGCCCGGAAAGCATGGCGAGCAGAAGGCGGAGCCGTGGATCCTAGCTCTCTCCCTTCCCAGACTCTCCAAACCCTCCCAGCAGCCTCATGGGAAGGTTCTATTATCATCTCTATGAGCAGATGAGGAAACTGGAGCCACTTGGCCAAATACAAATATGATTTGGGTGTTTCTGAAGCCAAAACCCACATTTTTAACCCTTTGTGCCTTTTGTCAAAGTGTCTCTTTCTTAACCACGCGGGGCAGTCTCACTATTGGTGAGCCGGAGGTGGGACCCGAGCAGGAAGGGGACAGAGGCAGCCACTCCTCATCAGGGACCCTGGCTTGGGACCCTGAGGAAGGCTGTTGTGTCCACAGGCACTTCAGCCAATGAACGGTTTGTAACCGGTCCCTGCTGAGCCTGGGGACTCAGCCCCACGGACTATACGCCTGACCATCCCTCAGCTGATTACTCAGCGTCACAGACTTAGCCCCCGTGCGTGGATCCTGCTTCCAGCTGGGCCCCACCAGGTGCACTGCCAGGAGCCACGCCTCCGGCCAAGTGGACACCGGCCCCATCGCAGAGACAAAACGATGCCCAGGGGTTCACCATAGCCCAGCACTCATGAAAGTGGGCTCCCGAGTGAGGAGGCCCCCGGGGGAGCCCGGCTCTGCTTCATACCGACTGTGTGTCCCTGGGCAAGTCAGGTAACCTCCCTCTGCCTCAGTTTCCTTAACTGCCAAGCACCAGCCCCCAGCATTGTAGAGGGGACCCAGCAAGTAGGTAGAGTTAAAGGGGCTGCATGTAGTAAGTGCCAGGTTGGCCGCTCTCATTCCCCATTAGTCCATGACTGGCCCTGGAGTGTGACTTGCTCTCGAACGCCAGCTCCTGTCCCATGTCACTCACTGTTGATACAACAGTGTGAAGAGCTAGGACTTTGGAGTCAGGTCAAGTTCTGCCACTTCCCAGCTGTGTGTGTCCTCGGGCATGTCCCCTCCTCTCCCTGTGGCCTCAGTGTTCTCATCTGTAAAATGGGAACTTTGTTCCTCCCTTCCTCATAGGGATGCCGTAAAGATTAAGTGAGCTGCTGTGCGCGTGGTGCCTGGCCCGTGGGATGGCTGGGTTCTCCGCTCACTGCTACTGCTACACGGTGACCCAGATCACAATGGGACTCCCGGCCTCTGGCCCCTCTGGCCAGAATGATTACTTCTGGTCAGCGGTGGGGCAGCCACGGGTGTCAGGTGACAAGTGAGAGTCCTGGGAGTGGCTCAGCCTCTGTGGTCCACCTACTCCAGCCCCCAAGGCAGGACTGAGGCCTCGGGTTCACCTCTCACCACCATCTAAGGAGATAATAAAAGGCTGATTCTTTCTTCTTGGTAAAATTTCAGCAGAAAGTGTACGCATCATTAAATATGGAAATCCAGAATTTTATTAGCAATCTGCTAGATCTGAACTGACGCCAATTAAACAAAAAAGATATCATTTATAAAAAGGCAGAGTTCAACTTGTATTAAATATGAAATGCAATTTTCTCCTGGTTTTGATTTATTACTGGTGGTCCATTGTTCAAAGAAGCATGTTATATTTCAATAGAGAAATATTGTTTATTCATTAATATTTTAAAACGGGCTTATTGCTGCGCATGG